AAGAGGACTAAGTGAGCCTTGCCATTCTGAATGCACAACGTGTTTACCTTTCACGCACCGCTGTAGACTTTCACGGAGTAGTGTTTAGGTGTGTGTGTGTGTGTGTGTGTGTGTGTGTGTGTGAGAGAGAGAGAGAGAGAGAGAGAGAGAGAGAGAGAGAGAGATCCCTCCTTTATCCTCTCCCACATTGCGCATGAAACTGCGCCATCTGGCGGCGGAAAGCGCACTCGAAAGTTATTAAATACAAAAGTTGAAGAAGGAATGTCTGGTTCCCGCAAGAACGGACCAGGACATCCACCAACCCAGGGCCCCAAGGTTTAGAGAGTCCCAWCATAATGTTGTTTAAACTGAGAGGATGTTATCCAAACACCTGCTTTGTTTCTTTTTCCCCTTTTTTTTTTTTTCAACAAGCTGCAAGCCCACATCCCTGGAAAGAGTTTAGATTTGTTAAAGCCCATGTTGAGAAACAGCTGTTTATTGGTTTCTGGTGGATTTTTGTTTAGTTTGTGTCAGATTAACACGAGATGCGATGGTTTGTAACCATTCTTTTGTTTGATTAAAGACAGATGTGGTGTTGTCATTTTAGGAAAATATCCCGAGCTCCATGCTGCACAGCCATATTTTTGTAAAATTGTGCAGGTCTGCGTTGTTTGTCTCAAAATTGAGATCTTTCAAAACTATAACTCTGTAGGTGTGATATCCGCTGCATGATCTGGAGGGATTTTAAGATGAAGAGTTCATCCTGTTGCCTCGGCGCTTGCTCATATCCTGTATCTGGTTCTTATATATTTTTCTCTCTTTCTCTCTCTTGTTGCCACGACATGTTAAAGGTTTGCAACACTTTGCAAATTGTCAAGTCAAACACAAAACAACAGGTTGTCTTGAAGTCAGATGGTACAGTTTGAAACAGTCAACAATTGGACCACAATGGAAATAAGTGTTCACACTTTCTTGTGTCATCCAAATACTGATAATGGATGTTTGTATGTGCATGCAATAACACTGCTAAATAAAACCAATCAATCAAAAAAATGGTAGTTTTCCAGACATGCAATTCTGAAATGTGGGTCCACGCTCAGTGTAAACAAAGCACTCAGCTGAATCCGAAAAAAAAAAAGAAAAAAATACACGTGGAAGCTTGAGTCACATGATTGACTTGTAAGCTGGCTGAAAGTATTGCCAACAAATTTTTAATTTATGGAAAAATATTGTGGCGGGGGGTGGGGCTTATATACAGAAACAGTTCAGGTTTACTTGTGTTTTATGCAGTAAAATCTAATTTAAAAAGGTGRCACAGCAGACCCTCATTTCTGTTTCTCTTAATTGTTTTATTCCATCATTTTTTTCTGTGTTTCACACCTTGGGATCTCATACCACAGTTCAGGAAATACTACAATTTCCATGTGATAGTTTTAAGTTGTTTAGGAATAAAACAGTTTTTTTTAAAACAAGTTATTTACCTCAAGCAGACAACCCAACATGGCCACAACTCTGCGAATCTGGGACACATATTCAGGCACTCTTACCACTGAGTTTAAACTTATAGCAAAACGTGCTCTGTGAGACAAAACAAAAAGTAACCATGTCCAATGTGTTCTGTTAATCTGATATTTTCTAATTATCAGCTCTGAATGTTGGAATGTTTTTTTTCTGATGGTTCCACTTCTCATCCTGCATCAAACAACATTACTAAAATGTTGCAATCAGAACGTAATCAGAGTCTAAAAGCATTTCTAATTTGTTGATTTGCTGATTAGGTTAGGCCCTACAAGCTCTTTTTGTTTAATGAGCTCAAGTGTCATCCAATATCGGTATTTAAACACAACACGCTAATAGTTTCAGCTCTGACTTCAGCTTTTGTGCATTTTCTATTTCCAACAGTAACACGTTCAATTTGGAATGATTTTTTTGTTGATGAGTTTGTGACTTGTTGAGCTATTGTTTTGAAAGTGATGTCCTTTTMGTTTCCATTTTTAGTTYATGCTTCATTTTATTATTCTGCTTYAACATTAAAAGATCCAAGTTTGTTCCAAACCTTGCGTCAAACATTGTAAATAAGTATATGTTGGGATTTGTACCAACACAACACTTTTTAGTACATTGTTTATAACAACGGCTGAGTTTTTGCTGTTTTGTGTTATTCCCGAGGACAGTTGGCAGTGGCAGCCATCTTGAACTGAATTGTCTCAAGAAGTTAGTCATTTGTAGATTTACATCCAGTCCAACGCGTTCAATGTTTGTTCAGGTTGAAACGCACCCCCATACCATCAGAGAGGTAGGTAATTGAACTGTGCACTGATAATAACCTGGATGACACTCCCTCTCCCATTTAGTACAGAAGATGAGGCGTTCATGGTTTGCGAAAATAATTTGAAATTAATTTTTTATTCTGACCACAGAAGAGTTTTCTACTTTGCTTCAGTCCATTTTCACTGCGCTTTGGTCCGGAGAAGACGCCAGCGTCTGTGTATGGTATTCAAGTTTGTCTTCTTCTGTGCTTGCTAGAGCTTTAACCTGCATTTGTGGATGCCACAGCAAACTATTTTTACAGACTGGTTTGAGAAAGTGTTTCTGAGCCCATGCAGCGATGTTTTTTATGGCAGTGGCCCCTTTGGGCTCAAAGGTCATGAGCATCCAGTGCTGACTTTTGGTCTTGTCTTTTAAGTACGAAGATTTCTGCAGGTTCTTGAAATCTTTTGATGTTATGATGCGATATTCAAAGTTTTCCATTGAGTCATGTTATTCTGAACTTGTTCCATTACATCTAAACAGTTTTTATAATGATGTGCAAATCATTAAGTCTTTGGGTTGTAATCAAACCATCTCTAATTTAGTTTAAAGCTGGAACCAGGTGGCGGTTCTTTTCTTATTTTTTTTCCCCTCAGAAACTCACTCAAAAGCCGACGAAAGCCCCTTTAACRACAGACTTCTCAGTGACAGCCAGTAACCGATCCTCGTTTGACTTGTGAGCCACGAGCTGTTGCATCCAGCAAAAAGGCAGAGCAGGCGGCCTGCTGTCAGATGGCCGTTTGAGCCGATGAAACTTGAGGTAGACAGTAATGTGATGAGGCTGAGTCAGTGGAGCTGCCCCGAGGTGAGCTTTGCCTGGGCAGACTCCCTCGCTCTGATTGCCTGTCTTTCTGTGTCTCTGTGTGTGATTGTGTGTGGATCCCTCTTTGTGGCCCTGTTCCGTCTCAGCTGTTTGTTTACGCTGTGGGGCTCAGGAGAGAACAGAACTTGGCTGGATCCTGTTACTGTATCCCCCTCCCAGCTCCACCCAGAATTGGGACCCTGCGCTTCTTTTGTGCTCCTTGAATGCTCCCCATATACACTTGCAGGCGGCTTTTCTTTAAACGTTGGATTTAAATCCCGCTTTAACCTTTCTTTATTACCATCAGAGATTTATGGCAGACCGAACACTGCTGTCTTTTAGCAGCTGGATGCTCTTTGACACTTCTCTGGGTTCCAGTTTCAGCACCAGCGGGACCATAAATATGTTCAATATCCTGAAGTATTTGTAGTCCGGAGGGCAAGGAAGGGACAGGAGGAGGGGGGACCCCGGAACAATGACTGTGTTAATCAAATTAGTCAAGAATGAAACATCTTGAACACATGCTGTCAGAAGAATTTGGTTCCTGATGAGATCAGGAGGTTTGTTTTCAGTTTGAAAGGAGGGCGGACTTTGAGTTCTCATTGATTTACCGTTATCACCCACTGCCAAAAGGGATAAAAAGTGCCGATAAAGTTTTTGCGTGTGCCTGCCCTCGTTTGTCTCTACCTCTCATAAATCACTGACCGAATTTTAATAAAACTTTCAGATCTAATCACTGGGTGTACATCTGTTCTTAGAAGACACAAAGATGGCTTTAGATCAACATATGTGACATGTGAGCTGTGATCGAAGATGAGCTTTGTTTCCAGTTCTTACTTTGTGTGAAATGCTGYGCAACAGCTTAGTCTAAAGGTTTAGCATTAACTGTTGGATTCAATGTGTGTTAACAAAATATGTCATAAGCCACTGGACATATTTCTATAAAACTCTCAGAAAGTAGTCATAGATCTCGCACATGTCAACTCCTGCTGTTGTTTACCTGTACACTGACCTTCAAAAATCCATCATTTTCACAAAAAAAAAAAAAAAACTGGAATACTTTCACATGATATAAGCAGGTGGAGGGTGATGGGGATGTACCAGCGTGGCACAACACTGCCCACCTCTTCCTCCTCCGCTGAAAGGAGCAGCCGACGGTGCAGTCATGGTCTCATTGGTTTTGTGGCACCATTGCTGCGATGCAGCACAGCTTTTTTCTTTTCTTTTTACCTCATACAGTTTCTTAGACATAAAATAAATTTGAAACTGAGTTTTTGAAACAAGAAAAAAACAGGTGAGATTTCGCTGAACATCCATATGCCTGCAAAATGGGAGGGGAAACCACACAATTTGGCATTTCGGATCTGTTTATACAACTGATTTTTTYATGGATTCGACCAAATTCAATATTGCTGTCGATGATAACTGGCCTCAACCTACACATAAATGGTTTTACACCTCAGTAAATTATACAGATATTGAATTAAATTAGGCATTTTTTTCTATAATAATTTTTAATTGGCACTAACACTGAATCTGCATGTTGTGGACTTATTTTCACAAATAATATAGATATCATATTTGTGTATTTGTTGAAGTGTGTCCCTCCCTGTGGTTGGTGTGTTCCTGTTGTGAACGTCAGTCATAGGAAGTTGGAAAATCTGTTACTGTTGCTCCAGAAACAATGCTGGCGACAGGAAGACCCAGCTGTTAAATCCTAAAAGGTTTTATTTAAAGCAACAGCACTTTTTTTTGTTTTGTTTTGTTTTTTGAAGATGTATTTTTTCAGTCTAAAACCTCCAGAGCTTGTAGCTTTTAAAGAGAATTGCTCTGTTTTTTTTTTTTTTTTCAATCTGAACTC